GACGTCATTTAGAAGAGTAAGTAAATACTTTTGAAAAGAAAGGAGACTTTTGTTTTTTTTACTAACAAAATCACAAGGTTAAGACTATTTATTGATACTGGCAAATAATGTTACATCATCATTATAATTGAATGCGACCTTGGAGCATGTCAAATTTGATACGCCATTATATAACTAGACCGGTTTATACTAAAACACAACAAATATTTTGTTAAATAGTTTAGGTTCATTAAAATTGTTATAGAATATTTTGACACATAAAGTTTAGTTTAAACTGGCTAATTTTAGTTTTTTTGTTTCAAATTTTTTCTTGGGGCCCTTGAAATCTCTTGTTTTTATTTTACTTTTTTATTTTTATTTTATTAAGATGTTCCAAAAAGGCTTAACGGTCTTGTCACAAATCGACGCGGAAGAGCTTTTAATAAAGAAGTTCATGCCGCCTTCCTTACCAATCTTGCACTTTTGTGTATATAAAATGTTTTTTTAAATGTTTGAACGATTTTATCACTTTTAATTTTACTCGTGATGAGTCCTTTTGTGGTCCTCTACAATCTTGCGCTGGCTTTAAGGCGGCGCAACCGGTGCATCTGCACCGAGCCCCCAGCACTTAAATTACCCTTAAATTAGGTGGAAAAAGTAAAAATAACTGTATTTTAGTAAAAGTACTTTAGTAAAAGTGAAATTTTACTCCAGAACAAGTAATCGTCGAAAAGTTTACTCATGTATAAATAAAAGATAGATCATTAAAAATGTATTAGTTACCGCATTATTTTTTTAACAGCCATTGTACTAGTTACAGAATTGCTTTTTTAACAGCCATTGTCAGATAACAGAGCTGTTGAATAACAAAGCATAAACAACGTATTTAGCTCCAACTATACCACGTCTAGTTGAAAAGTTTAGCTCACGCCTCAACTTCTAGTTGTGGAGCTACTGATGACTTAAACTTTTATATATCTCGAACTTTTTTACAACCAATTGTACATACTTGTACGTATTGTTTGGGCTAAAAATCCTCTTGATTTCTTGAACCTCAATTTTTGTTCCCGGAGCCAATTTTTCAAGTTTTCAAAAAGTATACGTTTTAAATATTTTAAATTTGATTATAAAATTGATTTTTTTTATTATTTAAACTTTCGAAAAGTATTTGATTAACTGATTGTTTTTAAATAAAACTTTTTATCAAACGCAAAAATATGCCGCTAATTATGAGCAGCCGTAATGCAGTGGTTTAGAGGAGTTCTGGCTCAGAACCTTGAGTTTCAAAGTTTGAAGCCAGCTTTAGCCCAATAAGCAACATTGGTAAGGAAGGAGGCGTGAACTTCCTGGTCTCGGTCTTATCATAGAGCTCATCTGCAGTGCTCTATGATTAAACCGAGAAGTCTTCTTGAAGCACCTTTAAATAACTTGAAAGAAAAAGGTCAAACATTATACAATAGCAACAAGGGTTAGGAATAAAAACCAATCATTGATGGCACAAAAATGGCACGAAAGTAGCATATAGCTGCCATTATCCCGGTTTTTACAAAGGGGATTGCAACGCTATTCTAATACAAACTGAAATTTTCACTGCGTTTTCCACGGAAAAACCGGAACAATTGCAGCTATAAAGTAGCCTTGTACTGTTTGAACATGGCCATATTTGCGTGGTTTTGCAAAAATAAGTCGACGAGTATGAATTGATGGTATCATACTGAAAAAAAAAGTATTAAAATTCACAAGAACATTTGGAGTTAAAAGTGAAAGAAAAGTTCTATTGTGTCAAATCTTTTTAAATTTAAGTATAAACAGATACACAATTGCCAACAATTAATTATTTAATCATGTAACTCAAGTTAAAATTCATTTATTCTATTTGTTGTTCAATTAATTGCTTCGTGGCGAATGATTTAACCGCTTCATAGAATAAAAATACATACCCAATATTTCTTTCCAGTTAAAAGTTTGAAAACATTTTTGATGCTGAACTTGGGCTATTTTACCAGTGCCAACCAAACAAAACGAAAGTAGAACTACTCGTAGATAACTGCTCTGCCCATCCAAACATTGAATGGCTAAGCAACATATATCTTCCTCTTCTCCCCAAAACTACATCTGTTCATTTGCCCATGGAGTTAGACATAATATGAAACCCTAAAGTTTATTGTTGCCTCAAAATTGTACGCCTGTGTATCAAAGCTGTCGAATATAACAAACCCTTGCCAAAAATTTTATTCTTTAAGTACTGAAAGGTTTCGTTTCTTATTGGAATGCTGTATCAAAAAGACTACAATCAATTGTTTTAAAAATTTGGTACTAACAAAACAAACCAGCAGATGACAGAATCTGATGGTGATAATCCGTTAAAATCTTTGACAGAAAAGCTTGACTGTTTGCAAGAGTTATATATCCTTGTGCCATCCAAGAAGCGCTCTCAGTCCAATCTTATATTGGTTTAGATTGCATTATCGTAACAACATGTTCACCAGCTTTTTTTGCTGAATTATATGCTAAGATTTTAGAACCTAGTTTTGAAAACGACGACGGTGAAGTTAAAGATTTTTTTTTTTTTTTATTTTAATTCACCTCCTCAAGGCCGAGACGGCCACTACAGACAAGGAGGCTACTTATTTGTGGCTATAACCCTCTCTCAACTCTATTACTCCGAAACACGAACCTTGACGAACAAGGCCGCTGCGCGGAGAAACGAGTTGAGCGCGGTACTACCAGGGACGTGGTGGGAATCGAACTCGGAACCACTCGTTTATGAAGCGAGCGCTCTACCACTACACCACTACCGCATAAAGATATCGTTAATGTAGGTGTAGAAATTGAGTCCCCGCCACGTCTATCAGATGTTCAATTAAAAGATGTTTTTAAAACGCTTTATAATGCTTCGCTATGCAGTCCAAAATGCGGAAATAAAATACGACTCCTAGCACTAAAATTTGAGAATTTAATAACGAGTGAAAAGATAAATAATTTAAAGTCATGCCAGGTTTAAGCTTTTTTTCAAAAACTGTAGCTTTTCTTATTAATAATTTTTGTCAGACGGAAAAAAAGGTGTTTTTTTTATAAATAGTCGGGCAATATTACTTATTTTTAACCCTATTCTTAATATTCTGAACTCTTGATTTCTCAAACCTTTTTCCTTGTCCCTGAGTTCGAGATATCGAGAGCCAGCCATAAAAGCAACAAGCTTTTACTCGAGAATTTCTATCAGTGTATTAATCAATAACTCAATGTAGCAAAGTGAGCAAAATAAATAATTTTTGATATAGTTAAATAAAGAGATTATATCTGCGTTTATTTAAAAAATGTTTAGACAAACTTATAAACAGTACTTAGTACACCTAAATAATTAAAAACCCTTAAAGCGTATCAAATTTATTTTTTATTATAATGATTTTTATATTGGTTGTTTTGAAAACAATTATTAAGTAAATTCTTTTTATAAAATAGGTTTTTTAAATTTATTTATCTGCTTAAAAGACAAAAGAGTTAGATTAAATAAAAATTCGGTTTAACTTGTTTTAAATCATAAGATGTAGAAAATAATTTCTCTAGATTTACACGATATACTAATTTATATATAATATATAAATAATTTCTCTAGATATAAATAATTTCTCTAGATTTACTACCATAGCAAAAACTAAAATATAAAGAGTATTCCAACTAGAAAACAAGAAAAAAAAATTCTATGTGAAATTAAAATTACAGAGCTAACTAAACAAACCTCGAAAAATGTTAGTTATGCAGCTTGTTATGCTGCTTCTCCCATATGTTTATCAACAAGAAATTACATCATTAAGTCCTAGACATTTGCGAAAACAAGTTTTGCAATACAAGTATTGGGTGAATTACACTTAACTGAGTGAATGCGACGTGAATTGTTTAAACTACCTGTGAATGATGTGCCTTTTTTTATTTATTATTTGTTTAAAATATACTGCGCACTCTTGCTTTACATTTTAGTATTAATTATACCTAGCCTAAACTTAATGTCACCGATCAATAAAACTTTAACTCAGCATGATTCAGTATTTTTGACTAACACAGATAATGGGTTTCTGTCAGTGTCACTGTCAGTGTTAAATATCTCAATATGTTTTTGTAACAAAAACAACAAGTTATCAAAAATTAAAATGTACAGCAAGTTTTTAAGTAATTTCAATATAACAATTTTATCACGAATAAAACACTTCCTGGCGTGATTAATGTACCCATATATATATATATATATATATATATATATATATATATATATATATATATATATATATATATATAATATATATATATATATATATATATATATATATATATATATATATATATATATATATATATATATATATATATATATATATATATATCAAAAAGTCAAAAACAGCACAATTAGTCATATCTTACACGTTGCTTTGCTTAAATTTTTTTTTTTAAGAAAAACAAGGCTTTTTAATTAAAACACGGGTTTTATTTAAACCCATAATAATTTATGTTAACTTTTTGTTTAATGTTTTTGAAAGTTTCGAAAACAATAATATTTGTTGATAGAAATATTTTTTTATATAACTTTTTTTGAGCCGATTATTTAATATTTTATGTCCAAAATCGCGCAACCTGTCCCATTTATCATAAATCTCGTATTATTTTTGTAAACATGAACTGTGATAAAAAATTTTTTTTTTGAATCGCTTAATTTTATGAAAACGTTTTAATGCAAAAAAAAAAAAAAAAAAAAAAAAAAAAAAATTCACTTAATTTGTAAAATGTTTTTTGATAATTTTGAAAACGTTTTTTCATTTTAATGATTTTTAGCGGAAATTAAGAATTAAGATTTTTGAGTTAACGGAAAACCACTACGCTTAATTTATACTCATTCAAATTTACTTCTTAAAGCTCATTGTTTAATAAGTTATTCATTTTTTCAAAGCATTTTTAAAATTCAATTCCCTCCATTACGGATTACGATTTCATTTTGTTGACTAATTTTTAGTACAAAAAAAAACAACAAATTTTTAAATATATTTTCAGTTTTTTTTTTTGAAATTAAAAATATAAAATTTACAATTTGCTTAAGTAAATGTATCTAATAATCCAACATAACTAGGCGTTTAACTGTTAAATTGAGATAACAATAAAAACCAAAAAAACAAAATGCGAACAATCTTAAACGCAAAGAATAAAATAATAAAAAAAATCAAGAACAAAAAATAAAAGCTCACATAAAACGCGAGGACAAATTTGCAAAGTAAAATAATAATTAAAAATAAATTAAATGTGTGTGCTTATCTAAAACACTAGTTAAAAATAACTTCTATGAAAATTTTTCTCTTAGAGAAAACTAAAGTTTAAATTAATAACCTGGGGAGGTTAAACTATTTAACTTAATTTATAAACTTATCGCAATTCCACTATTGAAACGCTTTTAATATTATCGATAGTTACATTGATAAATAAATTGATAAGCACATTGATAAGTAGTGCATCAACAGCTGCAATGATAACCAAAGCATACCTGATAATTTGATAAAGAGGGAAGTAGGGTAATAAATAAAGCAGCACGTGGCATACATCATGAGCAGACTTTGACGAAATTCGAAGGAAATAACCCTATAGAACCAGTCCGCGCAGACATTCCTTTGTACCAACCATCTTTTTTCTTCGTAATTACATAAATAATATCACCAACACAGAAAGAAAGTTCTTCTGCGTTAGCAGCCGGGTAAGTTGCAACAGCTTGAAACCTTCAAAAATAAATAACAAGATATTTTAGAGAATGGTATTCACACACACAAAAAAAAAACGAATTAAGAAGATGTTTTATATAGTAATAGAATTTCAATCAAAGAACAAAAATACATACTTTTCTCCGTTATAAGGTAGAGAAGCAGGAGTCTGCTCATTAATTGTTTGGAACTAGAGAAAAAAATTAAAATGTAAAAAAAATATATTTTCGTAGTTATTAAGGTGCTCCCAGAAGTCCTTACAGCCTTATCACAGAGCGCAGTGAAAGAGCATTCAACTAGGAAGTTCACACCTCCTTCCTTACCAATGTTGCTTATTGGGCTAGAGCTGGCATCGAACGGCTGACCTCAAGGTTCCAAGCCAGAACTCTAACCACTATGCCATGGCTACACTTCATTATTATATTCATAATTAAAATCTTATATTAGCTTACCATAACACTTTCAGAAAGTGGTGTATAAGGTGGAGGTGGTTCAGCAGGAACCAATGGCATTGGACGAGATAAACGATGATGTGGGGGAGCAGGCATAGATGAACTACAATGAAAAAACTTATTTAATATATATATAAAAATAAAATATGCTCAAAAAACGAACAAAAAAAAAGTAAAAACTTACTGGTAGTAAGAAGGTGGAAATGGAGTTGTTTGTGTCGGAAAACATGGTGGCTGTGGTAAAGAATGATGATTTCTTTTTGATTTATTTTTTTTAAGGATCTTCAAAATTCCAGACATCTATTGATAAAAAATAATAAAACTTAACAACAAAAAATAAAAAAAAAATGATGTCAGCCATTTTCATAGTTGATGTCGCAACATCTCTTCATTTATGTAATTAAATATCTAAATAAATAATAAACTATGATAAAAGTCCTTGTAAAAGAACACAAGATCTTGTAAAAGATTACATAAAAAGAACACAAGATTTTGTAAAAGATTACATAAAAAGAACACAAGATCTTGTAAAAGATTACATAAAAAGAACACAAGATCTTTAATCATAAAAGTTTACTTAAACTAACAAAAATGAACTTGAAAACTACAAAAAAAAACTTACTCCATTTCGACTTGGGCTACCAGAAGGAGTGTCAACAGCTGATGCACCAAGCACCTCAGAAGAATTATCATTGGATGTAGTTAATGGAAAGTTAAAAATAGGTACATTGCTTATTTGAGTAGGCGAAGCTGGATTAGAACTGTAACCGACAGCATTCGTGGTATAAACCAATGGATTAAGTTGACTATTGAAAAATAATTTAAAAATAATTAAAAAAACAAAATAAAGCATAAATAAAGATAATAAACAAACATAATGTTTTTTAGAAGAAAAAAATACCTGCTTAACTTGACATAGTTTCCAGGAAAAACACCAGTTTGTTTTGAACGCATATGCATACCTCTAAACCAACCATCTAAATGCTTTTCAATAACATGATATTTGTCTCCTTGAATTAAAGCCAACTCATCATCTTTGGATGGAGAATAAGTGAATAGAGCAACATATCTTAATATTAAAACATGTATTTATTAAAATATAATAATAATAATAATAATAATAATAATAAAAATATAATAAACTGTACTTACATATCTGAAGAAGGACTTGAAGTTATTGAGCATGTGGAAAAAGAATCTGATTTATTACTGACTGAGGTTGTTAAGCTAGAAGTTAAAGAGATACTAGGATTGGTGAGCTGAAACTGTTCATTTGGTGTTTGTAAAAAATATTGCGAACAATTAGTTGTAGTTGAATTTGTAGTAGTAGAAGTTGTATGAGACTCCTAAAAAAAGGTATTGCCAGTAATATCCTAAAGTTTAAAACTAATTCCAATATACTAATCAAAATAAAGTCATACACTTTGTTCTAGCAAAACTCTTGCATTCACTGATTGTGTTCTTGCTCTTACCTCAGAATCAATAAGATTGAGGTTTTTTGATAGTCCTTTTTCAGAAGGATTTTCAATATGAATTGTATTTCTTTTTGGTGCATTATCGGTTTGCTCACAAGTTGCCAAAGGAATAGAATGTTGTTTCATATAAACAACATTTTTATAAGACTTTGATTCTGTCTTTAAACTTTCTGGCTCTTCATCAGAATTACTTCCACTACTCCCATTTCCTGACATAACTTCTTTGGCAGCTCTGTTTAGCTAAAAAGAAAAAAAAAAGCACTACGACTTATTATAAAAAATAAAGACATTATAATAAATATAATCATGAATACATACTTGGACAAAATTGAGCGGAAAAATGCCATATTGCCCTGCCAATATCCCTTCCAGCCATTTGTCATCAACTTTTTTAATAACACCAATTATATCACCCTAAAATTTGAAACATAAAATTTAATGTTTATTCGCAACAAGCTTATATTAAAGTTTTGATAACATTATCAAATTCTAAGATTACCTCACGAAATGATATTATTTCACTTTCATCTTTACTTTCATAACTATATAAAGCTTTGGCAAATGGGGCTTTTATTAAGTCATCTTCTATTTTAGGTAATGGAATTAAAGTCTAAATGAAATTGAGAAAACAAAAAGAATTAAAAAATGATGCAAAAATAAATTTGATACTTGTTTTATAAATTTTCAAAGTTTTAAACAGATGAAAATTTATTTAACTTTTTAAACCTTAATCATGACTCACTTCTACAAAATTCTTAGGAATAGAACCACGTTTGCCATTTAAACCACCTTCCCACCAATTATCATCAATCTCTCGCAATAATGTAACAACATCACCCTTGTTAAATGACAAGTCTCTAAATACACACAAAAATAAATTATCATTGGTGCTTGTTAAATTTACTAATCTTTTCAATTTTTTATACTACAATAAAATATTTCGTAAAAAATCTGTTTGAGAAAGAAAAACTATTTATTACCCTTCTTCAGAGGAAATAAAATTATAAAGGCCTCTTGCACATGGCTGGTTTGATAATGCTTCATATTTAACCTGTAAATAAAAAAACTTTATATCTATTATGTATTAAACACTTTTAGTTGAAAAATAGTTACAAAAAATAAATAGTTTCACATATAATTAAAAGCTAATCACAAAATGATAAGGCGGAAAAGGGATTTAAAAAGATAAGCTTGGCGGTAAGCTATTTTTAAACATTAATAATATAAATTAAATTAAAAAATAATCCTACTTACTTTAACTGTTAATAAAACATCCTTATAACTTAAGAAAATGTCAAAACAAACAAAACCATATTTGTATGTATATATATATATATATATATATATATATATATATATATATATATATATATAATATATATAAAATATATATAAAATAAAAAATATCTAAAAATATAAATATTTTCAATTGTTTACATAACTGTTACTTTGAGTTTAATTATCACAAAAAATCACTTGAATTAATATAATATTTAAAGCAGAACAATCAAAAGTTAGCACCTAACATTTAAAATATAATTTAATGCATAAATAATAGTGTGTATATATATATATATATATATATATATATATATATATATATATATATATATATATATATATATAGAGAGAGAGAGAGAGAGAGAGAGAGAGAGAGAGAGAGAGAGAGAGAGACACACACACAAATTATAAGTACTTAAATATTTAATAAACACGCATAAATATATATGTAGATGAGTAGGTTAACTTGGAGCAAAGGGTACACACATCTAACAATTTTTAGTTTTACCAGGTTATATTTATTATTATAATTTTAAATATTTTCAGAAGAAGTATGAAGAGTAATTATTTTTGTTTTAATTATTTAAAACAAAAATAATTACTCTTCATCCATAATTCTATGTGCGTATATTACAAACTAACAGATTTTTTTTTACTCTCAAGCCTTACCTTTGCTGACAACCTTTTTGATGCTTTTGTTAAGCTTCTTTTACTGTTTTTTATTCCTTCCAGTAACCTTACTAGCAAAACATTTCTCGGTAATTTTTCAATTGATAAATTTGCATAACTTGTTCTGCATTCCGGACATTGAAGATGCCCTTTACTTTCAACAATTATCCCAAGACAACTTAAGCATATAGTGTGTTGGCACGGCAATACTCTACTACGCTCGTCAAGACGCTCCAAGCAAATAGGGCATTCAAGTAAATCTTCAATTCTACTGGAGTCATCCATTATCTAGTTATTTCACTAAAAAGTTATAACTAATTCAGGAGTTTGTACTTTTAAACACGCTTTAATTTGATATAATGTTAATCTATGATACTCTAAAGGGACTATGTAATATGTAAACACCGCTACTGCGATATGTTCACACACCCCTTGTTAAAAAAAATATTGCTTAATATTAAACTTTATTTTGGTAAAAAAACAACATGCTTTTATCCGCTATTGTTTGGAAGTAAATACGCGTATTATTTCTTTTTTATCATGTAAACAAGATTTTTTCATGTGTCATGTCGGACTTTAATATGAAAACATTTCTCATGTTAAGCAAACAAAACAGCAACAAAACATAAGTACTGTTAATAATTTATAAGAAAAAAATTTGCATAAAGGACGTGACTTATTTTTAAACCGACAATAAAAGTGACTTATTATATTAGTGAAGTCATTTTTCTTTGTTTACATACATACATTTTCTTTGGGAAATTAACACGGAAAATAAAAAACTAATATTCACTTTTACCGTACTATTTAATATCGCATTTCCCTAAACTTAGCACTTCATATGTAATCTACGCGGTAGCTATAGTTATATATATATATATATATATATATGTATATATATATATATATATATATATATATATATATATATATATATATATATATATATATATATATATATATATATATATATATATATATATATAGCTTATATTATATATATATATATATATATATATATATATATATATATATATATATATATATATATATATATATATATATATATATATATATATATATATATATATATATATATATATATATATATATATATATATATAGTTGTATATTTAGTATGCTAGTTTTATATTTTTAATTTGCCTACTTTGATAAAGATTTGAAAAAACTCTTTTAAAAAAATTTTCATAAGTTATTCGGCCGATAGCGCAACAAGTTTACGTCATTCATAAGAAAATTTCAAAACTAGTTTTGATTTTTTGTTGTTTTTTAAGACATATTTTTAAATACTCAAACACTTTTTGCTTACTTTTTTTAATTCCTTAAGAAAATACTTAAAAATTTCACGGAAGGAATTGAATTCATTTATGGCTTAATGTAAAGTGATTAAGTTTTCACATTCTTTATGAATTAAAATGATGATTATAATAATTTAAAATGAAGCTTGACGGTAAAAAAATCGGTAAAACTTCTCAACAGAAAAGACTTGTATTAAACAATACTTAAAATTAAAAACATTAGGCATTTTTTTAAACTATTGTATTTAGAAATGTTATTATTAAATAATAGTAAAATTATTTTTTACTTTAAACCAAAGTTTTGTATTCATTTCCGTACGCAACAAACGTGCCAAATCGTCTCATATTAAGCTAAAGCGTTTTTTAAAATTTTTACTTATATATCGTCGGCTTTTATTTTTTGTTACATTATTAATCTTACAAAGTATAGCATAAGTTTTTACTTTTCTTGTTTTTAAACTTTAAAAACATTACTAAAAAAAAAAATAATCTAATAATTCTTTAAAAAAAGTAAAAAAGTAAAATGAATTATATATCTTTATATATATGTGTGTGTGTGTGTGTGTGTGTGTGTGTGTGTGTGTGTGTGTGTGTGTGTGTGTGTGTGTGTATTTAATAATGCCACGACATAATCGTAAAAACGTGCTACTACATAATTGCACAAAACCAACTTTAAATGACAAGCATGCCAAGTAGAAAAAATTTTCGCCACGTGCAAATGCTTATCTTTGAAAGGGCATTTTCTTTTTAAACTTCAACATTTAGAAAAATGGAACATCAATATAGTGTAAATAAACAATTTAGCAAAAAGATCCAAAATAAACTACAAATGTTTTTTTTTTTTTTTTTAATAAGTATTTATAGAACGTTTTATTTTAGTTTTCATATATTATTCAAAACAGGTTACTTATTTTTATTCCCGTAAGAAGCATTTTTTTTTAACGTTTTTTTTTATAGGTTTCTGCTTCCATTTAGTGAGCTGAACTTGTTATTACAGACTTTGATAGTAGTCTTCCTATAGTAATTAGCAGGAAAAGGTTAAACCACAACACCTGTATTTTAATATTTTTATAATTTAATAGTTTTTTAAAATTTTTGAAAACCATTCTGTTACTTTTTTCCCCACTTTGAATACTGTGAGTGTGCAAAGTCGTCCATAATGTTGGCAACCCCGGGGCAAACGCATTTGCAGCACCTCCTCCCTCCAGTAATAGTCACCTTATATAAGTTTTTTGTCCTACCACTAATACTTTATTACTTATACAATCTACCAATCTACCATAAAGATAAATATAAATACTCTCGACTCAAGGATTGAATAATAAATATAGTAGTTAAGGAAATCAAATAGTTTAAGCAATGTCATTCTAAATGAAAACTTAAATTATTGACAAATAATTTATAATGGTATTCTCCGAGATTTTCTTTAGAAAAAATGTTCAGCAACTTTTCCAATGTTGAGTTTTTTTACCTCCTCGTTTTTAATGGAAAGTATCACAAGTGACGTCAATCTTTCTTGCGTCATCGATGTACGTAGGTTTCAGATAACTTCAACTAAAACCTACGGTCATTGTCACTGGAATTGTTTGCAATAACTGTAATTTGTGTGTGTGTGTGTGTTTGTGAAAAAAACATAAGTAAAGTATTCGAAGTAATTTTTTCTTATCTGAAAAATTTCAAATTTTTTTTGTTTTGATGTTACAATAAAATTAGAATATTTTTAAAAACAATGTGATCATAGTCTTGGTGATTATACCCTTGATCATTGTAGCCTCGGTGATTGTAGCCTCGGTGATTGTAGCTTTGGTGATTGAAGTCTTAGTTATTACAGCCCCAAAATGTTTTTTTAACTTCTTGTGTAAAAGCTAAAAAAGCTGTAGCTGCATTTTATTTTATTAAAAAAAAATTAGTATCAAGTAAGAATCCTTTCAAAACTTATTATGCAGGGTAAATAATTATAAAGAGTAGGATAAACACTTAAAACTTTTTTTTACTTTTAATCCTCTTGAGAAGAAAACTGATAAGCCAAGGAATTAATTTAAAGTGAAATGAATTATTTTTTCTTCACTTTTTTTATAACGAATAAAAATGAGCGTCTCAGGTAATTTTTTTGTCAAGGAAGTTGTTCTCAGGGCCGGCACAAAAAGGTGTCACGTGGAGGGGGGGGGGGTTGCAATTACAACTTTTGCCGACTTAAAAAAAAAAATAAGGTCCTCGATATTTTGCCGACTGCATATCAACTTTTGCCAACTGACTGTTGTGGCCTTGTTTGTGCCGACTAAGAATTAATGTTTGTACCCCCTATCGCCGGCTCTGGTTGTTCTAATATAATACAGGGAAATACTATATTATAATTTATGCATTTATCTAAACGTGGTGTATTTTTTTTTTGATTCTTTAAGCACATCGGTGTGGAATTAAGCGCATCGGTGTGGAATTATTATAGAGTAAAAACAAACTGTTCCTCAAATTTTTTTTTTAGTTTTTTAGTTTTTATATGGACTTGAAGAATTTTTACTATACTGTTACTATAAATTTTTGAAATAGAAAAACTCCTAAAAATTATGCTTTTAATGTTTTCCATTAATCTAGACGTATTTTAGACGTCTATAAACGTCTTAAATACGTTTAGATAAAGATTGTCAAAAGACAACTATTAAACGTCTTCTCTAAACGAAATTTTAAACGTCTTAATTGAAGACATCTTTATAAAAGAAAACTATTTAACGTCTTGAAAAATGACCGATATAAACAAAGTTTTTAGAAGTCCTAAATAAAATAATTTAAAAACTTCATAATAAAATAAAAGCCTGTGCATTCAATTTAATGCAGTTGTGCTTGTTTTAAAATTTCTTTAACATCCTAAAAAGAGAATGGATGTTCATCTATTTTTTGAAATACCACTCTTTTCCACAAACTAATTTATCCCCATTTCTTGCTCTAGACATTGGTATACTTTTTTATATTTTTGTACATCATAAACTTTTTAAATATTTTTGTACGTTTTAAACATTTTTAAACGAAAAAAACTAAAAAAAACTAAATTAAACAAAGAAGAACTCTTCACAAAAAATAACATGTATAATTTTTTTTTACACATCATTGCAAAATAAATATGTCAGTGTTATAAACAATATAAATGTAAGATAATTTACAAAACTTTCTATATATTTAAATTAATAAATGCAAAACAATAAACTTTTGAGTCAACTTTAAAAACAAATATTTCTACCCAGTGGACACAAGACGTTGTTTCAAACGTCTGAAAACATTTTAGTTCGTTTTAATACGTAAAATTAATATTTGGATTGATTTTTATATTATTGTTAATCATTCTTGGTAAATTAGAATTCATAATGCTAATTTAGTTTAAAAGCTTTTAAAAGCGGAAAAAAAAAGTCTATTATAATAAATCCATAAGTATTAAATGTCTTAATTTAGCTTTTAATTGCTGTTGAAGTGTTTTTACTTTAGTATTTACAGCTTACTGAAAATGTTTCCACAAAGTATGTCGATACACACAATAGCAAAACTAAGGAAACGATAGGTTCAATTCGCACCGTTTTTTGGGGGCGGCATTTTTTATAATTAGTTTTATAATTTGATATAATTAGTTTTAAAATAGTTTACGTCATAAGTAATGCGTTATAAATATACTACTTCTACAACTTACAAGTTGCGATTTCGATATTTTAGTTCTTTATCAAGTCAATGTAGGTTTAAAAAAATACTAACTGACAGCGATATTGAATTTTTATTAAAAATATTTTTATTAAAACAAGAAATATGTTTTTTTTTAAGAAACAAAGCAATGTATTTCTTTAAACAAGAAATGTATTTATCGTTTTGAGAAATAAATTCCTTAAACTAAGGATAACGGATTTACGATTTTGCTGTGTGATCTATATTAGGTTCCAATTCCAAGCACTTGAAAAACTAACATTAAAAAACAAACTAAAATCTGGAATAATAAGATTTCACTACTTACTGAAATATCAAAATAATTTCCAACATGCGATAATATCATTAAATTTTTAATTTAATACAATATTTTCTATGCTCAGTTTATGA